GAGACCCCAAAGTTCCACCCAGATGGAGGTGGAACGTGCGAAGCTGAAAGAGCGTGACCCCGTGAGTAATGCCTACCGCATCCGCGATCTAGAGGAGAAGCTGAACGTGCGGGCGCAGGAACTGGCGCAGAGGGTACTTGAAGAGGATCTCAAAGGCATTGACACGGAGCCCGAGGATGTGCCACTTGTGCTGCTTCATCCGCACAAGGACCCTGAGTTTGCTTCGTTTCTTCCTGACCTTCGCCGTCTCAAAAAGAACTCTGGGCGGAACGCCGCGCCAATCTCGGCTGTACAGAACAAGATGAACGATAGGGTGCATGAACTGGCGAGGGAAATGATTACTGAGGGCCGGAATTCCCTTGATTCCGAACCGGAAGGTGTGCCACTTGGGTATCTTCCACTTGACACGGACAAACAGTTTGGCGAGCTGGAGAAGAAGCTGTATGCCCTGCAGGCAGCGCCACGGCGGAATGACGGTGCTATTGCGAATCTGAGGGAACGGCTGAATGACCGTGCCCACGAGCTGGCAAAGGAGAAGATTCAGGGTGACCGCGGCTTCCTGGAGCCGGAGCCGGAGGGCATTCCGCTTTCCGACCTTCCCCTCGACTCGGATGAGAAGTTCCACAAGATGGAGACGGAGCGAGCCAAATTGAAAGAGAATCCTGCGAAGAATGCAGATGCGATAGCTCGTATGGAGAAAGACCTCAATGATCGTGTCCACGAGATGGCGAAGGAACTCAAGGAGGAGGTTCGTGCCTTTTTGAACACCACATCCTACGGCATCTCGAAGGAGCTTCTGCCTCTTGACAAGGACCGCAACTTCCAGGGCATGGAGCAGCAGTTACGAAAGCTTGGGCGCAACTCTCGCCAAAATGCGGCTGCTATTGAAAGTCTTCGGGAAATGTTGCAAGACCGTGCCGATGAGCTGGGCCTGCAGATGCTAAGGGGTGATCGTCCCAAGTATCTTGAGCCTGAATACGATGGCGTTGAGCCTGTGGATGTTCCTGTCGATGATGACAAGGTGTTTACCGAGTTGGAGCTTGAGCGGGCCATTGTGAAGGCAAAGGATCCCCAGTCGATCACCGATAAGATTGAAGAGCTGGAGGGGAAGCTGAGGGATCGTTTTCACGAGCTGGCGAAGGAGCGCATCAGGCGAGATCGGTTGTTTTTGGACTCTGAACCCGAGGGCATTCCTCTTGAGAGTGTTCCGCTCAATGACGACGCGGATTTTAGGCGTCTGGAGGGGCAGCTTCGGAAGCTCTCTCGTGA